CAATACGTTTTATTACTCTTTATAATTATACGTGCATATTTGTTGAATTGATTTCAATTGGCTCAACAAGACAAAATTCGTATCGTCGCATACGTATTATTTTTTTAGTATTATGTGTACGGGCAAACGTTGCGTTGCACACATGACGGAAGCAATAAAGCAGCGTCAGGGGCGCCTTTGCAATGCAGCTGAATGTCGGTACTGATGGGGCGTCGAAAAAGTGTGCAGCGGGAATATTAAATCATTGTGTTGATATCGATCAATAGTCTTGAAAAGAGAGAAATGCGTAGCTGGTTTCAGTGATATATGTTTACAGTCGGCGCAGCGGCCTTCGGAAGTAGCGCAGATCTTCCGAAGAATCATACTGGCCCAATCTTTGATCCGGGCGGGGAAGATCGGGATAACGCTAGTTCGAGCTGCAACTGTGGACTGGGAGTGCAACGCGACACGGGACGGCTTCGTTGGTGTCCGGGAAGCAGGTTACCAATTCGCATTTCATTTTCTTTTCTGTTATTAAATTTTATAGATAAGAGCAAATTTTCCAAGATTTGAATTCTTGTAGAAATGTATTTAAAAGTGTCATAGCATTTTTTTTAAATGTAAACGCAGTGTCACATAATCGATAATTTTATTTTATTATAAATTAAATAATTCATTATGAATGCGAGCTAGGTGGAGTCGTTTGTTATTCGTGATTCCTGCCGCTTTGCTGCCATTGCTGGGCTTGTTTGTACTCTTATCTAGGTATTATGTTTTGATAAATTAAATCAATATATGTACTAAGTTTAATTTTTTTTTTCTGGAATTGTTGCAAAGTTATAAATTAAAATGAAACAAATAATATGATCCAGTTTGGGTGCGGTGGGGGCGGGCGACAGTTTACTAACCAGGAGAGGATCAGGCGCTCCCATGCAACGCCGAGATAGCTGCACCGCGGTTCGATACGGTCTTCCTGAACACTTGGAGGCGGAGGAACGAGAAGTATTAAGTGATCTACGAACTTCATTTATACCGCCGGAGTCAGTTGTCCCGCCGAATTGTGTGGTCGGCAGGTCAATTAGATCGAAAAGGCTATCTTGCACCGAAGGTAAAAATAATATTTATATATTTAGTAAAAATTAAGGATTTTCTATTTGAATATTAAGCTTAACTATAATTTAATATAACTATATTTAATTTACATATGAAAATAAATATGAGATTGAAAGCAATATAAGGTTGGGTAATATTAAATTGTAGGAAAATGCGATTTATCTTCGCGTCGCACAAGGTTTATTGGAAATCTATCCACTGATATCACAATTTGGGCTAATACTTCATACGGTGATAATCCGATATTAAAATTGCATAAAGTCAGTAACTTTACATTGGAAAATGATGAACCTTTAGCATCTGATGGAAATCCTAAATATAATACTGAACACAAACTGGAAAAAAGAGATGATTATGCACAAGATATTGAAAGTTCCGGAGATGTTGAATTTGACGTGCACTCGCCAAACAAATCAGGTGTTGCTGAAATTCAGTTACCTTGGAAAATCACATCTCTTGGAAAGGATGCTCGGCCTATAAGTAATATATAGAAAGCTGCGTATTTATTAATAATTGTAACTAATACAAATCCATTTATTTAACAGCTGACGATGATTTTAAACAAAGTCAACAATTTGAACTAGAGAATGCTGAGCTACTCGAATCTCCACCAGCACTTGCTCCACATGCAGTTTGGCGTGGACAAGGTTCTCCAGAATATATAAGAAGCGCTCAAGCCGAAGCCATGAAACGATACATGGATCCCACCGCTGATCCATGCATAGATTTTTATCAACATGCATGTGGAAACTGGGAGCGCTATAATCCTATACCGCCTGACAAAGCGGGGTATGCATTATGCATATATGTAAAAACTTACATGCACATTTTTTCGGTTCACATTTTCTAATTGAAATATATTTAAAAACATATCGGCAATCAAACTATTTTTAACAAAAATTCGAGACAATCCGGGACAAAATACCTAAAACCGGGGCAAATATTGCTTTTAGAAAAAACCGGGAGGCAAAGCGGAAAATCGGGACGTATGGTCACCTTAATATATCTATTAATTATTACTCATTACAGTGTCATGCTTTAAAAAAATCCTGAATTAAATACTATGCATCTTTATAACTTTTAACACATTTTATTATTTTATTATGGTTCTACTTTTTTCCACAGATATGATACATTTGAGATGCTTCGCGAAAGCCTTGACCAAGTTCTTAGAGAACTTCTAGTTGAAGTGCCCAAAACGACTACTAAATTTACAAATTACGATTCAGTAAAAAGCTCTGACAGTAACCCTGATATGCAAGTACGCCATTTACGCCACGTACGACGTAATTATCAACAAAATCCATTTCAAAAGCATAGACATCACAAACATCATCAACGAAAACCAAACATAACTAAAGAAAGAAAAGAAGGAAATGTAAGATTTGAATTATTAAAATTGAAAAATTTAATAAATAATATAGAATATATCTATTTATATTGTAATAATGTATTATTTACATTTCAATTTTGCACATGGAGGATGAAGATTCGGATATATACAATGATTCCAAGCTAGAAAGCAAAGATAGATCAATAATTGATTTACTACGCAGATTTCGGGGACAAGATTTCAAACGAGGTACTCGATCAGATCACAAAAGTCGAGGAGGATTATTCAATTTACGTCAAGTTTTATTGATTAGACGAATACGTTCGATGCTGGGTGCAAGAAAGCAACACAAGCGCCAGAACTTAAAAAGGAATGAAGATAAATCATTTTTAACTGAAACCGAGTCTGAATTCATCAGCTCTGAGAAGATTAAAGTTTTGAATAAAGAATATAATGTTGAGAGTGTTCAAACCAATACTGAAAGGAATAATCATAAAAAAAAAACGGCTGAAGATTATAACAATTTAGGCCGTGGGGATGACGAATACGAAGATCCTGCTGGTTATATTACAACTAGTAAGCCTGGAACAAATGTTAATACTACTAAAAATTCTGTAACATCAAATTCTATAAAACATTACAATATTGGTAAGTAGCAAGTATTCGGATTATAAAAAATACACATTTTATAAATCTTTTAATACATTATAATCCTCTCAATAGATTGCGATGAACATGATGCTGTATACAAAGCACGAGCCTTGTACGAATCATGTATGAATTACGCAGTTTTGAAGCGTCGTGGAAATAGTCCACTTCTAGATCTGTTAGATAAATTAGGTGGATGGCCGGCTATAAATCCTAACTGGAATGAAAAAGGATTTGATTGGTTGCAATTAACAGCACAATTAAGAATGTATAATAATGATATTCTTATTGCTGAATGGGTTGGGCCAGATATAAAAAACAGTGACGAATATGTGATACAGTTTGATCAAACAAGTTTAGGTATTAGTTGATTTCTTAAATTTTTCTTTATTGAAATTGAAGTGAAACAAATACCAACAGGTCTTCCTACTAGAGATTATTATCTGGAATCCATTAACATACCATATCTGAATGCATATAGAGAATACATGCTGACTATTACGACATTGCTTGGTGCTAATCCAGCGAATGTGTCTTGCATTGTAGAAGAAATCCTAGATTTTGAGACCAAGTAGGTACTATAATTATATATTATGATTTATTTATCAAAATGTGGCTTTATACCAAATCTATAAATATCTAATATAATTTGTGTATAGACTTGCACAAATAACTACCGCACCGGAAGATAGACGCAACGTTTCTGTTCTTTACCAGCGTCTGTCCATTGGCAGGTTGAAACAATTAGTTCCACAAATTGACTGGATTAGGTAACCCTCTTGGTACATACAGTTTTTTTTAAATCTAATTTGATACAGCGATCTAATTTCATTCGATTAAATTATAGTGAAAAATGAGCTTTAATTTTGATTAATATTTTGTACGAACTCTTTAGTTAACAAGTTAGACTTGTAAACTAGTATGTATTAAGAAAAATGAACATAGGGAGCCAAGATTTTTTCTTTAACATCTATATAAACGAAAATTATTTCTACTTATATTCTGGTATTATTTTCAGGTATCTGAACATTGTACTAGAACGACCTATAAACCCCAACGAAACTGTGGTGATGTTTGCTTTAGGTTATATGCAGGTGAACAAGTTTTAGTTTTTACTAATATTCAAAATTTCAAAAAAATTGATTGACACGAATGAATTCACAATTTCGGACTAATAGAAATATATTAATGTAGTTATTAATATTTTGAGCATGCATATATCTATCTCAATTCTTAGATCCTAGATAATAATAATATAGATAATTTATAAACATTGTCAGGTGAGTTTTTTTTCGATTCGTATTAGGATCTGGTACGGCTACTCGCAAGATCTGATGCGCGTACTGTTTCTAATTACTTGATGTGGCGGTTTGTGCGACATCGTGTCAATAATTTGGATGATCGTTTCCAACCAGCAAAACAGAAATTTTACTATGTTCTTTTCGGTCGTGAACAATCACCGCCACGATGGAAAAATTGCGTTTCGCAGGTATTGTTAACAATTTAAAAAAAAATTAAAAGAATATAATAAATATATTACTGTATCAAAATATTTTATACTAGGTGAACACCAACATGGGAATGGCTCTGGGATCTTTATTTGTTAGAAAATATTTTGATTATACTAGCAAGAATGATACTACAGTAATGACGTCAGAGATTCAACAAAGTTTTAGAGAATTGTTATACAAAACCGATTGGATTGATAATCAAACAAAGCGCTTGGCTGCTGAAAAAGTGAACGCTATTATTTTGAGAATTGGCTATCCTGACTATGTATTAGAACCTGAAACTCTCAACGATAAATACAAGGATGTTAATATCGATAAAGGAAAATATTTTGAAAACACACTAGAAATTTTAACACACCTCACACGGGCAGAACAATCTCGGTAACTATAATAGAAACTAAAATTAACATCAAAAACAATCACTACGATAATGGCGTATGTATTAGGAATATTCGATTTCACGACTAGCTTGGTGTCAAGCAGTAGTGACATCGATTTTCACTTGGAAATATAGAGAACAATATGTTACCAAGTGAAAATAACCCTTGTCCAGCATTTCTGCATAAAAAATCATCAGTATTACAGGAATTGCTATCGCATAGAGTTAGGACAACTGTTTGGGTTGCCATATAAAAAATTCACGTTAGTTATAGTTAAGTCATCACAACAGCTTATAGGACCCTTAAATTCTGTTCGCTCTTTAAAAAATATAAAAAAGAAAAAATTATGAATAGATTAGGTTATAATAGTGTAAATAAATAAAAATCGTAAGTGCTTACTATATTAATTACTTTTATAAATAGATATTTATACACTTATTATGTATATTAGTACTTCTGATCGGTTTTTGTTTTATTTTAGACTTGGTCAACTCGTAAACAAGACAGTGTGGCACACAGCTCCAGCAGTTGTTAATGCCTACTATAGTCGAAATAAAAATCAAATAATGTTTCCAGCTGGAATTTTACAGCCTCCATTTTATCATCGATATTTTCCACGGTCTCTTAATTACGGTGGCATAGGTGTCGTCATCGGCCACGAACTAACTCACGGTTTTGATGACAAGGGAAGGCTGTTTGATAAAGAAGGAAATTTACACAAGTAAGTGATGAACTAATTTTAATCTATGCAAGTTCTAATTCATATGCGATTATATTTCACAGATTCATATAAGTGAAAACGAAATATCAATTAAGCGGCATATGATGATTTTCCAAATTTGCGATAACACTTTCGTTGCTATTAGAATCTTCGACTTGTTTTCATTGACCTTGTACATTGACCATTTGCTATTATACATAATTGATTAAACTAATTACATATGTCATCCCATTTATATAATTATCTTATTAGCTTCAATAAATTCAATATTATTATGAATATACATAATATATATATATATATATATATATATATATATATATTATATATACAGGGTGCTTCAAAAAAATGTATACACATTTTGAACTTCCATAGAAAATTTATTTACCGTTCTACAAAGTTAAATTTTAGGAAAATAGAAAGCTGAAAGTCCAATGTAAATGAAACATAAATAACAAATGTTTTGAACAGTACTAACATTTGTTATTTATGTTACATTTATATTGGACTTTCAGCTTCCTATTTTCATGAAATTTAACTTTGCAGAACGGTAAATAACTTTTCTAGTTCTAGAAGTTCTTCTAGTCTAGAAGTTCAAAGTGTGTATAAATTTTTTTGAAGCACCCTGTAAGTACAAAATATCAGATTAGATTATAGTTAACTTCGACTTTAAATAATGAGTGATATTCGGCCTCCTTTGATATTAGACCACTATTTTTTTGTCATAATTTGGTAATCTGTTGGGCTCTGTATTTTATTACATATTATATTTTATTGGTATATATATATATATATATATATATATATTATATTTAGACAAGTCCTGGATTTTTTTAATAAATTGATATATGTTTCTTCTCCGAACAATACATCCAATAAATAAAATGCAATTTGTTTTTTGTAGATGTTTAATTACGACGTTTTAGAACTAGATACATTCCATCGTCAGGTTTTTTCCGCCAAAAATAATTTTTTATATAGACTAACACTATTACTTATGAAAAATACAGAATATTTTGTAAAAAAGTTTATATATATATATATTATAGTTAAGTATATATATATATATATATATATATATATATATCTTGATAGTTTTTTTGACGTTGAAACATATTTCAAAGTAACTAGCAGCCCATTCGTCTAAATAAAAAAGGTATAAAGTAGAAAAACTGCGTGTCATCATTCAGCAACACAGGACAAAAACACTCAACAAAAATTTATTTTAAAAAATTAAACTTAATAACATACCTTTTTTATTTCGACGAATGGGCTGCTAGTTACTTTGAAATATATATATATATATATATATATATATATATATATATATATATATATGTTAAAGTAGTTAATTTTGATGTTGAGAAATATGAGTAAGTTCTTCAAGGGCATACATCAAATAAAAGGCAAAGATTTAGAAGTTAATCTTTAATTTTTCCAAACGTTTCGACATAGTATTTTATGTCATCATCAGTAGATATAAATATGGTCTTACATCAGTAGCTAGCGCAAGGAACATAATTTTGCACTATCATATATACATAAACTTGTTTTTTTTTAAATTATTTTGTTGAACAGAGTATAGCAAAATATTTGTGAAATATATAATATATTTTGCACAGAGAACGTAGTTTATGTGACAGAGCCCGAGGCTGAAGTGACTTTTTGAACTTAGTGCAAAATTATGTTCCTTGCGCTAGCTACTGATGTAAGACCATATTTATATCCACTGATGATGACATAAAATACTATGTCGAAACGTTTGGAAAAATTAAAGATTAACTTCTAAATCTTTGCCTTTTATTTGATGTATGCCCTTGAAGAACTTACTCATATATATATATATATATATATATATATATATATATATATATATATAGTTATATTCAATGCAGCACGCGATTCTTCATCAAATCTTATTTGAATAATATAATTGAATGATGATTAAGTAATCTATTTTACATTTTTTTTAATTTCTTTATCTTGTTTCGCATGGTTCGAACCGGATTTGATGTCACCTATTAATGTTTATCAAAAAGTTGTGCAATTAAGTGTTGGGAAAAATATCAATCATGTAAAATAAACTCGAACACGTTTTTGTAACGTGCCCATATCACAACTTAAAAATATATGGAAAATTTAATTTATAAATAATATTTTCAATATGCATGATATCTGTTTTGCAACGCAAATGTATAGTTACAACTTGTAACTATATATATATTAGAACTTGAATTTTACTTGTTTTTTCTTGGTTGGTTGTTTAGAAAATCAGAAACTCCAAGTTCTACACCCGCCTCGAAAAAACTAATATTAAGTAGTAATAGTTACATCAGTTTATACTTGAAAATATCGGGAGCAATTCTATAGTATTATGCTCCCAAATGAAAATAGACCCTTGAGAATTTGAGTTATTTTAATAATAAATTCATCATAAAAAGGATAGACAACTAAATTATAGGACATTAAGTTCTGATTTCTGTTAATAATATTTGTATACATAAAAAATGTTCTATTCTGCGTCGTGCATTTCTGGGATTACCGCAGACAATTATATCTTTCAAGTATAATTCTAATAAGATTTAATAATAGTTATAATTTGCATAATAAGATTGTGAAGCAACGTAAAATGTTTATCGATTACATATTTCTCAATCGTTTAATAAACATGAACTAATTCAGGGTCATTTTGCAAACATTTTTGCGTAAGGTCATAGAGCTATCGCAGTATTTGTTACGTAATTTATAAATTGCGCGAAATAAATTTAGCAAATCATTGTTATAAGTACTGTTAAATTTAAATTCAAAGTATTCGAAACGATTAGATGTATGTTTTATTTATATTATACACATAAATATTTGCTTTTAATATACGATATTTATTGAATCAATCATTTATTTATTGAGTAAAATTATTTTATCTTCTACTCTGGGAAAAGATAAAATTAGAACTCTAAGTAAGTATAATAATGTACTGTCCTGAGTAAAGTTTGCAATTAACTAGTAAACGATTAAGATTGATTTCATGAGAAAATATATCAAAAATATATTTACATTAATGTAATGTAATGCAATCCTAAATGCACGACTAGAACTTTTTTATTCGATACATAAATAAGTAAATATGATTTATGAGTTTAAATGTGATGCATTAGAATGATATGACGCAGATCTTAATTTAACAAACAAAAGCATTGACATCAGAAAGAAGATAATGACGTTATATAAATATATTACCAAAACTTTATCTTATTTTTGATATCGATGCATTTGTTTATTAAAATTAAGATCTGCGTCAAGCAAATAATGGACCAAGTTATATGCATACACAAATGTATTGTAAAACAGATTTGAGATAATTGTCTTATTGATATATTATTTAATTGTCAAGAATTATAATTAATGAAAAAAAATATTTTAGCTGATGTGTATTACTTGGCTCACTCAGAGATTCGTTGGGTTAGTTTTAGGTAGTTATTTTTCTTAATTTTGGATTTAGTAGTTATTTCAAAACTCATTGCTCGCTTTTATTACATTGTTGACTATTTAATACATATGTTATTCATATTGTTATAAAAACCGAATTGTTTCATTTTGCCTATGAGTAGAACGAATATTAAATGTTAAATATGAATAACACAACACTCAAATTTTTACGATTTTTCAAGTAAAGATCTGAGTGTTGTGTTGTTCATATTTATGTATGTATATAAGTAAATTTTGATAAGAATTATCACGAAGGCAAAAGCTATGTTTCTTAAATATTCATATGTGTGTGTATGTGTCTAATTAGAAATACTGGTTTTATATTCGATTTCAAGTAACCATCTGCATATCATTGTTTTCGATGAATTGAGCATATCAACCGTTATTCAACCTCTGACCCTTTAATGATAATAAATTTAATGAAACCAGTTCAATTCAGTTTTACAGAACTTTGAATTTCATAATCGTATAATAATTATTTTCGTAGTGTATTATTGAAAACCATGTTGTAAAATTAATTTAAACTTAAGAATATGATACATTCGTAGTGTATCATTTCTCATATTTCAATTTCATACTATTGTACCTTGAATATTAATTAATCAGAACTTAATAGTACCATAAGATTGTTGAAATGTCTTCCTAAAAGCTAGGGTTCAAAAAGCAATCCAATAGTTGGCATAGGCATATTTCCCTTTGATGAATTGATTATGATATTATGCTGACTTTTTTGTGACGATAACACTGATTCTTGATATCAGGATGTACAATAGCTCTAGTCACTAATCTATAAGAAAGCCATATATACAGGGTATCCCAGAACTTAACAGGATGTCAAGCGAAAAGGTGATAGTATTGATCATAACTGTCATAAAAAATAAATTATCATTTACAAGTTTTGTTAGTTTAAGTGCAATCTAGAGCTTTGGCGAAAATGTGACTATTATTGGTTATTGTGATTAATCTTTATTAATTTTGTTCATTTGAGCTCTTGATCTGTAATCGTAAATAACTTTTCTGAGACCACCGTCAAAAATAATAATACAATCGCCTAAACTGTAAATTTAAAATTTTCGAAATTTTAATTTTACCTCAGCTTTAAGTTGCAGTTCGTAATTTTCATACTACTTCAGACAATTTGTTTTTAATGAGAGTTATTATCAATACTATCACTATCACCCTTTGTTAGTACATCAAAAATTTTATTTGAAATGTTTGCGGTAATTTTATTTTCGTCATTATAAGTTTTTTTCAGAAATGTATTATTCTTTTAGTGTGAAAACTAATAATATACAACGATATGAATATTTACTTAATAAATCGATATTTCAGATGGTGGAGTGAAAAATCAATAGATGCTTTCCACGAAAGAGCGCAATGTTTAATCGATCAATATAGTAATTACACTGTTCCAGAAGTCGATTTGCAAATAGACGGTTTTAATACTCAGGTCAGTGACCGTTATTAACTTTCTAGCATTTTACAATTTATGTAGCTAAGTTCTACTTTCATATTTATCTTACGATTTGCTACTGCTCCTTTCAATGAGAAAAATTCGCTACATGCTAACAAAGTTGAAACCATTTTAAAGTATGTGTTCCAATAATTACATCTTAATTTTGATTAGGGAGAAAATATAGCTGATAATGGAGGTATTAAGCAAGCTTTTAGAGCATACAGGCGTTGGCTTAAACTGCATGGAAATTCAAATGAGACTCTTCCTGGTATTAACGCGACGAATACACAATTATTCTTTCTAAACTTTGCACAGGTTATCCGAATGTTTCTTGATACCAAATACTCTCCTGTAAATAGCAACTATACATCAAATATCGATTTCATACCAAATTTTCATAATTTATGTCAGGTTTGGTGTGGTGCCATGCGACCTGAAGCCATGAGGAATAAGCTAAAGACAGCCGTCCATAGTCCAGGAAAATTCCGTGTTATAGGAACTCTATCAAATTCTGAAGACTTCGCACGAGAATATAATTGTCCACGTGGATCGCCGATGAATCCTATAAAAAAGTGCAGCGTTTGGTGAAATTGCAGGAAAAATGTCTAATCAGTGGTCAAGTTTTACTGAATGATTAAATATGCAATGAATATCTACATCGAAACATATATTTTTGTATTATTAAGTTTTTATGCACCATGTTTTTTGTATTTATAATATATTGTCATTCAGAAATTTATAAGAAAATGATGAATAAAACTTCAGAAACAAGAATTAGAATAAGAATGAATCAACAATATCTACTTCATCATTCATCAAATGAATACGAATTAATATTCAATGATAATATTAATTAATATTGATATTTTTATAAACAACTTAGTGTATGCAGTGAAGAAAAGAGATAATATTTGGTATATAAATGCACTTTGTCGGGCCAGCAATCTCTTGGATATTTGTAGTATGATAACACTAATAAAATTAATTAATCTGAAATTTAATAACTACTTTTGTTAGACAGATATCTGATTATCGGTTATCTTAATATTCAGATGGATTTTCTTCCATTTGTAATTATCAAAAAATATAATTAAATATATGAAATAATAAAAAATTATATCCTTAGCAAATGTTGTTTTTAAATATTAGGTTGTCAAATATCTCCCTTCCCCCTTTTTGTATTATAAACCAAGAGCAAAAAAGCGGAAGGGAGATATTTGACAACCTAATACATTTTCTTAACATTTCTTAATGAATGATAACACTGATACTATAGTATCAGTGTTATCATTACTAATTGAATTTATTAGTATACTAATAAATTCAATTAGTAATTAAGTGAACAGTTATTGGTTAGAACAATTCGGGACTTAATTATATCCGGGACATTATATGATTTGTTATATGAAATAATCAATATAATTTAAATCTTCGACGAATGTTGTTTTAATATGCGTTCTATGAATATTTTATAAATAAAGTATGATAACATTGATAAATCTAGTTGATTCAAATAATAATCAAGAAAACAGTTATTGCTTGTAACCATCTGAAGTCGCGTTGGTCAGATGTCCGATTATCGGTTACCCAAATAATCAACCAGGTAGATTTACTTTTAGAAGAAAATATAAATGAAATTTAATTAATGAAATAATTAATCATTTAAATATTTAACGAATATTGTTTTGAATTTGCAGAGTTTTTTTTTTTTTTGTTTCCGATACTATATTGAAATTCGTTTCAAACGCATGCGTTAAGATTTGACATAGAACTCTGTAAGAGGTTATCTTAAACTTCAATAATATTAGTCATTTTTAATTTAACTGTCGCGTGAGCAGCGTTATTATGTATTTAAGATCAGGAACAAATAAGTTTTCTTAGAAAATTTTCTGATTAAGTTTGTATTTTAAAGTCAGTGCGGAAATGTCGTGTTTTAATACTTTCTCTTGTTTACTATACTCTGTCTCTTTTCGTCTTGCTAGTCGAGATAACGTTCGTCTGTTGCAAAAGTGCAAAAGTTTGCAGTCAGTTCATAATAAACAGGTAAATTGGTAGGAACGGAGGAAAATAATTGATATTAATAATCGCTAAAATATTATTTCACTTCAATGTTGAATTTAACTGTTAATTTAAAGGTTCTTGTGCTATTCGTAATTAGAGGTTAAACTGCGATAAACTTTAACCTGTTGCTTGCGTCCATGCGGTTAAATAAACACTTATATGCATTCATTCTCATAGTTTCTTTAGCATTTGTTCCATAACATACTATTACTGCAAACACAAACGTCGGATTACCAAGTGGTAATTCCACGTAAATAAATGCATGCTATTTTCAAGTTTTGTTTTTAATTTTATTTGCTATAAATAATTATAATTAATTTGCAGGTTTTTAGGAAAAACTCAAACATGAGTACTGCAGCACTCCATGCCAACTTATGGGATTTCGATCCTGAATTATTTGATCTTATTAAAAAGGAAAAAAATCGACAATTGTCAGGACTAGAAATGATTGCCAGTGAAAATTTTACATCTTTGCCAGTACTGCAGTGCTTAAGCACCTGTCTACATAATAAATATAGCGAAGGTCTTCCAGGACAAAGGTATTATGTTTGATGTTATTTCTATTTTGATTTTATTGCTAATTTAATAATTTCTTCTACGTTGATAGGTATTATGGAGGAAATGAATATATTGATCAAATTGAAATATTATGTCAGAAAAGGTGTTTAGAAGCGTATAAACTTGATCCAGAGTTGTGGGGTTGCAATGTTCAGCCTTATTCAGGTATGAACTCAGTAAGAGCATTATGAATATTTTTTAGTGATTTTCTATTGCAAATTATGTTCTAATTTGACATGTTTTTTAGGTTCTCCAGCTAATTTAGCTGTTTACACTGGAATTGTAGAACCTCATGGCCGAATAATGGGTTTAGATTTACCGGATGGTGGTCATTTAACACATGGATTTTTTACACCAACCAAAAAAATTTCTGCCACTTCTATTTTCTTTGAAAGTATGCCATACAAGGTAAGTTTTAACTGGAATTCAAAACTAAACTCAATTTTTAAATAAATTTAATAAAATTAAATTAAATTATTTCAGGTTCATCCAGAAACCGGACTCATTGATTATGATAAATTAGAAGAAACGGCTCGTTTGTTTAAACCTAGAGTTATTGTTGCAGGGACTTCATGCTATTCACGTTGCTTGGATTATAAGCGTTTTCGACAAATTGCAGATATCAATGGTGCATATTTATTTTCTGATATGGCGCATATTTCAGGACTTGTAGCAGCAGGTATTTACACTCAGCTTTTATGAAATATTAATAATCAAAAATTATCTTATGAATATAAAAATAACTTTTTTATATTCAATGTAAGGAATTACTGTTTTGTTTACTTTTTTTAGTTTCTCAATAAATATTTGTAAAACATGAACTAAATACACTTTTTTATAATTTTTCAGGCATTATCCCAAGTCCATTCGAATACAGTGATGTAGTGAGTACAACAACTCACAAGACACTTAGAGGTCCTAGGGCAGGAGTAATTTTCTTCCGTAAAGGTGTAAGATCTGTTAAAGCAAATGGAGACAAAGTGATGTATGATTTAGAATCTCGAATAAATCAGGCAGTTTTTCCTGGGTTGCAAGGAGGACCCCATAATAATGCAATAGGTGCTATTGCCACTGCCATGAAGCAAGCAAAAATGCCAGAATTTATAAACTACCAAAAGCAGGTGAGCTATAGCAGCCATTTACTGCTGGAAAATATAATATTTCTAACACAATAATATTTTAAGGTTGTGGCAAATGCAAGAAAGTTATGCGATGAACTGAAAGCTCGTGGATATAAAATAGCAACAGATGGTACAGATGTTCACTTAGTTCTAGTAGATTTGAGACCTGTTGGTATTACTGGTGCAAGAGCAGAATATATTTTGGAAGAAGTCAATATAGCATGTAATAAAAATACTGTTCCTGGTGATAAAAGTGCTCTTAATCCAAGTGGCATCAGATTAGGAACACCTGCACTTACAACAAGAGGTCTTGTTGAGAAGGATATGGAGCAAGTAGTTGATTTTATTGACAAGGCTTTACTGTTATCAAAAGAGGTAAATTATAGCTTCATTTGATTAGTCTATCTGATTGTAATTGAAACTTTTGTTATAGATAACCGCTATTTCTGGACCAAAATTAGTTGATTTTAAGAAAGTTTTGCATTCAGATGATGTTATTCAGAATAAAATTAAAAATTTGCGAAATGATGTTGCACAATACAGCCAGAAATTTCCTTTGCCTGGATACCCTGAATATTAACTATTAAGTATTTCACACTAAATCTATAAAATAAACATGCAAATTGTTTTAAATGCAAAACACATGTACATGCATACATTTACACTACATATACTTGATACAATAAATATGATTTATCAATTATTTTTATTTACATTATTTATTTAATAGAAAATTATATAATTTCTTTGCTGTATTTTATTATTAATCTAATTCTGCACTTTCAATTCTATGTGTCGAACCACAAATGGGCCTCTGATCTTCATCTGAAGAATCATTTGTGTCAAGACTATTTAGAAATGATTGCATCAAGTCTCCAAAAAGACCATTGTTACGATTTTTTGGTGCAGGCACACCAAAGAACAATTGACCAATTTTATCTAAATATTGCAAATACATAGGATCCTTTTTTAATGATGGTTTATATTGATCACAGAGAATAGTAAATGTTGTAAGCTGCTTATCTCTGAAACAATGAATGAAAATGTGATGATAATTATATCAAGCAAAATGCAACTATGATTTTGAAAACAAACCCTTGTACTGCCTTTAATAGAAACCATAGAAAGTTGAGTAATGGAAAAATATATGGTGGTCCTATTTTTCGAATAGATGGATGCTTCTCAGTATATACAATAAAAGTCTCTTGGGCAGTAGAAGCATTATTTCGACAAAGATATTGTAAAACTGCTTGTGTTATGAACATATCAATTTCTCCATTAAATCCTTTCTCTGTATGCAATTCAACTAACATAGAAGCAAAACCGGACCCATCCATGGAGAACATAAAATGATATCTTGCTTGAGCATAATTTTTTTCTTGCCAATATGCTTGTGCCAATTTCTGGAATTATGTTTATATTTAAATATGCAACAAACTTTTCAAACCTTCCTCTGTCCTATATCTAATTATTAGCAATCCTTCCATAAACCTACATACTCACTTTATGCAATTCAGGATGTCCAAGTTTATTATCATCATCCTTTGACCATGTTAAGGAATTTGATAAAAATGTCTCTCTCTCTGGCACATAGGGCCCAATTAATGTAAATAATAAAATTATTTTGGAAAACCAAGAATCACATGGAACAGTTTTAGATTTAATCATAACATCAATGAGCAAAATTGATAAGTCTGCTCCACTTAGCTTTTGATCCTTTTCCAGAAAATTTATTGCTCCTTTATATAATAAATCTAACAACTCTTCATATTTTTTTTGGCCTAGATACCTTATGGAAAAAATATAACGATTTTATGATGCATGTGAACAAATGCAATTTTACATCTCATTACCTAAAATACAACGTTCTATACATTTGATGCGCCTCATAATAATTATTTTCCTTCAATGATATTTCTAGTTTTTGTAGAACCCTAGATACTCCACGTACATTAGCATTTGACCACATATTTATTATTTAATTCAGAGTTTGTTATTTTATATATAAGATATATTTTGTTAAAGACTATATTTTAAGTTTGACATTTCACGAAAAGTGTTGCCAGTGGCGAATTTTATTGGAAAAAGCAATCTCCTTTTATCTATGCAATCTTGGGTTCTAATCGACAGAGAAAGATCACAAACTCTTCTTTTATCTATGATCACGAAGAACTCTTCTTTCATCTCCGTTATTCGAAAAATACCGACATCCAGCAGAACAGATTTTTGTGGCGAATTTGAAAATATTGTTACTGAAACAAGCATTCTCCTAGCGGATCAATCACATAACTATCTGCCCAGATTTCAATGATTTGCTTTGTATAGTTTATACCTTTACTTAATTTAGATCTTTTAATTTTCATTAGATGTCACTCATATATAGAGTAACGCAGCCATTGTTAACTGTCCGCCTTCTGTTTTCAGCCCCAGTCTTTAAAAACCTTGAAGAACTGTTCTAAATTTGCGTATAAATAAACATAAAGGTACGTTTAGTTTGCAAGATTTTTCTTATATATCAAGCGTCACGTGATTCCGAAGTATATTCTTGAAGCCGTAAGTTGATGTTCAGATATACAGTTTCAGCATCCAAAACATTGATTTGGCTAAACCTTCTCAAACCTTTTTATAAATTTTATGAACCGCAATAATTTTTATATCTCAAATATTTAAATAATTTAGTAAATTAATGGAACGTTATAATTAATCTTGAATGCTCATTTCAGCTAATGTACTTCAATCAGCCATTGACAATGATATAGTAAATAGAATTGGAGCCTTAATTCAATTTGGGCAGGCTCCAAGAGTACTTTGTTAATTGAATGCAGAATTATGTCTGGTGGGGCACATCATAATCCTCATGGCAGGCAAGGACAGCCAAATTCTGCATGGAATCACCTCCAGGTTTTGCACAATATTTACTTATATGACATATTTTAAATATTTAGTATAAGTTATTCTTTGTGCTTTGTAGGTGCCAAATTATTTTCCCAGGCCTCAGCTTGCCCATATGTCAAGTGATAGGCCTTTGTCCTTATCACCATTAACTTGGCACACTCCAACAACAACAGAGCCTCCTACAAATAGTGCTCCTGGACCCTTATATAATCTTCAACAAATGATGCTTGCTGATGCCAGACCTATACAACAGAATTCATTAGAAAATGTAGCATTGGCAACTAGAGATAGGTTAGAAGGTTTGGGGATAACTTTAAATCGACAAACAAGTCTGGATGCAATCCAAACTTTTACCCGTCATATGAGCTTACCCAATCAGGGAGTAGGATCAGTAGATTTAACTTTGTCTCGCTCAATATCATCTCCACATAGTGTTCCTGTCCCATCAGGAATGATCAGAAATGGTCAGAATGGGGAATCTAGCGGCCCTATTAGTCTTTCAGTTAGAGACACCAAACAAATAAACAGTATGGATACAGCAGAGCTAAATAAACTACAAACTGGTAGATCATTAGATATAATCAACACAAATTTGGTGGTTAATCAAAGATCTAATAGCCCTAAATCTCCTAAACCATTTAAACGTTCTGCAAAAAAAATGGATACCGTTTTAGAACGTCTAAATAGTGCTCCAGCAGATTTATGTTCCAATTCAAGGCAGTCCCCTGGAGTAACAATTTTACCTAAGGATGATATAATTTCTCAAATAAACCACGAAGTTAAACAATCAACTGCATCTATACTTACTCCATCAGTGTCCTTACCCCTACCAGTTGAAACTCGTATAAATGTAATACCTTTATCTGAAGATGCTTCTGAATTGCATGATAAAACTCGACACAAAAGAAAGCCTGATAAGACAACTAGAATAGAAAAAGAAATTAAAGGAAATGATTCTTCATTGGAAGTAACCGTTGGACTATCTTCATCACCAACTAGCCCTACTTCAATTGAAGAAACAGGAAAGCAGGTAACATATGATTCATTGTCCAATTTAACAGATTCAGAAATCGCAAGTAAGGCAATCTTGGATATACCACAAATTTCTTCAAAAAAACAAGAGCTTAATACAGTCGAAAATGTAAATACCCAAGTAAAAAATAAACATGAAGACACTAGCGAAGTAGATTTGTCTAACAACTCAGTGTCTATTACACATCTACCTAATACAGAATTACAAACAGTTTCATCACCAAACTTATTAATAGAAAAACATAATTTATCGAAATTTGAAATATCAGAAAAACAGGAATGTGATGCACCATCAGCAGACTTGCCAGTTCAAATTAATTCTATTGCAAAATCTACTGAAACTTCTATGGCAACAATGATAACAAAACGCAGAAATAGTAATGAAGAATCTCATACAATTCCACTAAAAGTTCGTAAGAAGACTTGTTCTGAGTCGGAAACTATTGACAATATTGCTGCAATGATTGCTTCAGGAGATAATGCTTCTGTGATGGTACCTCTTCTATCAAAGCCTGCAAAATGTGAAGAAAATGCTGTGAATGATTCTCAAAGCTTAGCTCATGTTTTAGCGGGTCCAGAGGAGAAATTAGATCAGAATGCTTGTAAGCTTGATCAATTATCTGTTACGGAACAGCCAATAATTAGTAATAATAATACTTGTTTAGACAAACAAAATAATGTTGTCACACAAACTACAGGGAGTGACTCAAATATTAATATGCAAACAACAAACTTTGTTCAAGTTGAAAATGAACTAGAAAAAATGTTTGCTGGTATTGATGAAACTATTACTCCTGCAGAGGAGAAGTTAAACTTGCAAGTCACTAGAGACAGTGTTACTTCTACTTCAAATGAAAATAATCTTAAGCGTAAAACAGTATCCAACATTGCTATAAGAACTAACAGAAAATCTTCTGATAGTGCAGAAAATACACCAAAGAAAAAAAAAATCAGTGATGGTAATAAGAAAAATCGATTTGCAACAAAGAATGTAAAAGCCAAAGGTGGGAAAAATGGCCAAAAAAATAAAAAATTCAAATCCAAAGTTGATTTGACAATCAAAGATGTATTATCTTATGATTCCGGTAGCAATACCAGTTCTAATAAGTCAAAAGGTCCATTTATTCAAATAAAGGGTCCTAAAGATTCGCCTATATCAGTAAGCATTATCAATACTTCGATAAATGATGAAGATTCTGAAAGTAGAATGAAGCATCATAAAACAAAAAAACATCACGATGATGCTGAGTTTAGGCAAAAAATGAGAAAAGGACTTCATAGTAGCACACTTAGTATGAAATATGATGCAACAACTACTGATGTCACATGGGTGTGTGTATTCTGTAAGAATGGACCACATTGTGGAGGAACAAACTTAGGTGATTTATTTGGTCCTTATTTGGTAACTACATCTTGTCCAGAATTTGAATATAGTAAACACAATCCAGAAGATGATCCATTTAAAAGTAAAAGAACAAAACAAGACTTAATTGCAAAAAACGTTGCAAGTATAAATAAAGCTGTTAAAAAGAAGAAGAATGTCCACACTGATTTGGCAGATGTGGATATTTACACTGGAATGGTGGAAGCTAGCCAAGGAGCTTATGAAGTGTGGGGCCATGAAGAATGTATTATATGGGCACCTGGTGTGTTTCTTGTTGGTTCTCGAGTTATTGGTTTGGAGGGAGCTGTCTGGAGTTCTTGTCGTGCCAAATGTAGCCTCTGTAATATTACTGGGGCAAATGTTGGCTGCAGCCAAAGGGGCTGTGGTAAATATGCACATATAAGTTGTGCAGCCCGCAATGATTGGCAGATTTTAGAAGACATTTACAAAGCTACATGCCCGAGTCATCATTCCACTTGAGAATTATCTTCAATATTTTTTATGTATGTATGGTGTATGTCACAATGCGGATTGTAATTATTTAACAGTGAAGTTTTGCACTAGTTAGGATATTTTAGTGTAAAATTTTAAAGTTTTATTTCAATTTTGAACGTTTGTGATTTTAATAAGCAAGTGTTTAATTGAATACTCTTTTAACGATGCATAAACATAGTATAGAGTTAAGAGTAATAAAACATATTCATTCACAGAAACAACATATGTAAATGTATTATATAAATTATATAAATATTATGAGATCGACATCTTTTTTATTTCTTAAACATTTAACTAAGTTAAGCTCAATATCATAAAATAAAATATCAATTATGATAGTATGTATATAAAATATGTAATTGAATTAAGTATAATACTCATATATGAGAAATTGCTTTGATATTTAAATGCTTAATACTTGTTTATGATCTTTTACTTTTCAGAATAATTTCAACAGTCGCATCACCAGAAAATTAGAGGCTTATATTTAAATAAATAAGGTTTCAAAGTTTCTCGTTAAAAGCTAGTTCAACAAATTTCAACATCCAATGGTTTTAGTTATTGGATGATATACTGAATTCTGAAAAGTATCATTTGGATAAGAAGATTAATAGCATTCAGATATCTTTTTTCTTGGAAACGCCTTATAAAATCGTTTTAAGAATGAATTGAAGTTATTAGGAGTAAATTAAGTAAAAAGGGTCGTTCATTTATAAATTTAAACAGTAAAACTTTCCGCCGTCAGGAGACAGACCGTTTTGTTTTGCTTGAATGTCCTTGGCAACGCGCTGTTGACATAATCCATGCTACTTATAACATCAATATATTGTTTATTAATTGAAATTTACAAGAATTGTGATGGCAGATGACCATAATTTTCATATATCAGTCTTTGGTCATATCGATTCAGTTTATTTTCCCGGTGGATTAATTGGCGATTCAGTCTTTATGAGATACGAGTTTGTCGCAGGCGAAAGTTGGGAAATAATATCAGGATGCGAAACTGGTATAAGCCAAACTTCGTCTCCAGGATCGAAAATGGAATTTATAGCTTTCAATGTGCCAATTGAAGTGACTTTTAGAAGCAGTACACCTTCTGGATGTACGTTTATGTGATACGATTTTGAATGATATTGACTGATATTAACTGCAGTTGTATTTAAATTACTGTAATTGATATGAATTTTTTAAATTATATATAAATAATCATTAATTTAGGGCCACAGTTGATCCTTTCTGTCTACGGCATTAACATCTGGGGCATTGAAAACATATTGGGTTATGGAAGAGTTCATGTACCAGTAAACCCATCTTCTAGAAGCACAATTGAAGTAGATTTAAGCGTCCCTAGATGGAATAATAGGTGCCCTTCTTTTCCGTGTTATGTGTCATTCAAAAATCGTGAAATCGGTGACCCTAAAATTTTAGCTGATGGAAGGATAGATTCTCGTAAGTACCCGAAATATTTTCGATTCTATATCGTAACATTTTTTCAATTTTTCGTTGAACACTTTCTTTTATTTTATTAACAAGTGTTGCACCGACTAAATAATCGTAAATAGACAGTTGGTGCATAATTACTCGAATTTAAATTCTATTTTGTTTGATGAAACAAGAGCAACAAAATATGTCATATCAAACTTGTAAGATTGTGCAATAAATAGTTTGAAATCTATATTGAAATCAAAATGGAATATTATAAAATCCTTGAATTCTGATCTATTATTTCTAGAATTGCAGACAATATCATATGGTACGGTGAAATTGGAGTTACAATTGGCAACACGTGGACTATCAAGTATGCATCTGGATTGCGCTTAAGTTTTGTCTCGATTTTTGTATATTTTTTTTAAGTTTGTCCATGATTTCTAATTACAATTATTGATGTGAAAAGTTTATAAACATGTAATAAAAATAATAACGAATAACTTTTGCATATTTCTGGGGATATTATGTTGTGCATGTAAACTGCATACGGGGTGAGACAGATGAGATATCCACATATTGCCTGATGCCTTGCAGTTGCCTATTCTGCGTGATCATATTGGTAATGACAGTGACATTTCGTGTCCATTTAACGCTATTGAATTTCTTGACCGTGATTTTGAATGAAACGTCAAAGTTTCAATATCACAAAGTCAATACTGTGAATAATTTTTAATTGTCGATATGCTCAAGTTTTTAGTAAGTATAAAGTTTGCGAAGTCAATTTAATAATGAGGTGTTTGGTCTAATAAAAACTTAAATTTCTGTTATATAATTTTATTTTGAAATATACTTTACATTAATAACAATTTGTGATCATTAAGTTTTCTTATTAAACTATTTATTTTTCAATGTGTTGCAGACATAATTTTTAAAATATAACACTACTATACAAGCTTATCAACAAGTTAATGACTATGTAAAATTTTTGCATTTAGGTCATTGTTAATAATTTGTCAGATGTTTATCTTTTCTGGCAAACCATATATATATATATATATATATATATATATATATATATATCCTTTAATAATTATATGATTTTTGTTTTTATAAACAATACTCTTCTGTAAAAAATATATTCCATTTTAGTAAGAATTTGAATTTATAATTAATTCATGCTAGAAATAATTATGAATTGCTTTAGCTCAGGATTTTTAATAGAAAATAATATAATAAACTATATTGTTTTCAGATCACTTTCAGTGCCGCATTTTATGCTGGCATATATGTTGCACAGAATTATGAAGTAAGTAATAAGTTTATGTTATAAACTCTTCAATGATTATTAATGTATATATTATTTTTATGCATGCATATACAAAATACTCAAAAAAGTTCAATCTATAGGTACCAAGAGTGGATGAGCCCTCTAAACTTCTTGAGAGATTGAAAGAATTTGCTAATGAACATAAAAAGGACAAGTGAGGAAAGAGTCTTAAGGAATAAACTATAACCTGCACAGTTTTGTGGTTGTTCACTGTAAATAATTTGTTAGTGCTGGTCAAAAAATAGTACTTTATCATTTATTCCAAATATGCCAGTAATACATATACATATATAATTATAAAATTGTTTATTTTTTCATTTAACTTATTTGCATTATGTGAAATATCTCAAGACCAAGCAAATCCACCACCAGTAGATTCCAAATTGGTTTGAGGTTCAACAAATGCAAGCCAATCACTTGCATGAGTTGGCAATAATCCCATACTATGAAATTTATACAAAGCTAATATTATATTTGCTAGATTACCAAGAAAGAAAACAAACTTTTGACCAGCAGCTTGTGATCCTTCTATCATTTTAAAAGTCAATTGTGTACTGAAAAGCGCTTTCACAGGTCTCACTATCAACATGCCAACCATCATTATTGGAAATATGGAAATCGAATTTCCTGCCATATACATTATAAATAAGTTCATGGGCACTTGTTTCAAAGGGCCTAATGCAATATCCCATGATTTTTTCATTATCAAATGATTTGGATCACCATCTTTATTTGCTTCTATACTTGTCACATTTAAAGATGTATTATATCCCGGAGGTGAAGATATTTCATTCAATGTAGTTCTGTCATTTTTGGTTTTGCTAATAAAAAAATTGCTTTCTATATTAATCACTTACAGCACTTTTTGAATAATATAATTTTACCTGGTAAAATCCAAGCTCCATTTAAATTTGCGCGAGTTTGATTTCGTATTAGATGCCATTATATTTGTATTAATAATATACCATATATAATATATATAATATGAATAAATTTAAATTAATTTACTGTTTTGATATGATAATAACAAATATTTTTGGTTACAATTAGATCATCAATACTACTATCGTGACATACATGCTTGGATGTCAGATGAGTTTTTTTACACCAGTGGTTTCCAATCGTCGGGTCGAAAAAGAGTGGTTTTTAAATATTTATGCAAATCATAAAGTCTGACTTATTATTGATGATATATTATTATATTAGATATATATATATAGTGTTTTTCTGCTTTCGGAATTTTATGCTTTACAATGAAGCATGTTTAGAAAGAGGGTTAGTAGCAGTGGTAGTGTTTTGATTATTAGTATGGTATGCTTGACAATATGACAATATGACAATAAAATTATCTCATCTTGGGTTGGCAAATTGAATTTTTGTAATTAATTGTATACTCTTCTTTTATCTATGATTGTAACCTGTTTCTATAAAATAAGTTATACAAATTAATAACATGGGAATTTTAGAGAAAATTTCGGAAATTGAAAAAGAAATTGCTCGCACCCAGAAAAATAAGGGTAAAGTTGAAAGATAATTTAAATTGTGATTACATATGCAATTTTAACGAAATTAAAAATATTTAGCAACTGAATACCATTTGGGGCTTCTGAAAGCTAAACTAGCTAAATATAGATCGCAGTTGTTAGAACCTTCCAAGAAAGGAGAGAAAGGAGAGGGCTTTGATGTGTTGAAATCTGGTGATGCTCGAGTGGCTCTTATTGGATTTCCTTCAGTAGGGAAAGTACGTCTCATATTTGAATTATATATATATATATATATATATATATATATATATTGAATTAAGTGGTATGTATAATGTTTTTTAGTCAACGTTGCTTTCAACTTTAACCCACACGGAAAGTGAAGCGGCCAGTTATGAATTCACTACTTTGACATGTATTCCCGGAGTTATAGAATACAAAGGTGCTAATATTCAGTTGTTGGATTTACCTGGAATTATAGAAGGTGCATCTCAGGTATTACATAAATTGAGCTTATCTTAGCCACTTAATATCATGCTATACTTTCTATATTTAAATCTTTATTTTAATCTACATTCATAAATAATTGTTCAATTATTATTAAAAGAATTAACAAATTTAATTAATTTATTATAGGGTAAGGGTCGAGGAAGACAGGTTATTGCAGTTGCACGTACAGCAGATCTTGTTCTGATGATGTTAGATGCGACAAAGCCATATGTTCATAGAGAATTACTCGAAAAAGAATTGGAAAGTGTGGGAATTAGACTCAACAAAAGTAAACCAAATATATATTTCAAAGTAAGCCTTAATTTCTTTAAAATAACTTGGTTAAAGAAACAAAATGAATTTTCAATTTTAGACCAAAAGCTAAGTTTTAATATTATATTCTCATTCATTATATGTATATATGGAGATTATAAATAAGATATGTATATATATATATATATATATATATATATGTTTGTATGTATGTATATATCCATATATACATGCATATGCATTTCTGAAAATATTTTGTTTGCCATTGAATTGTATTTCTTAAAACTATATAAAATTATTCATAGTAATAATTTTGCACATTTAATTCTCTTATAGGTAAAAAAAGGAGGCGGAGTATCTTTTAATTCTACCTGTACTTTAACGAAAGTGGATGAAAAACTTGTTCAAATGATATTACATGAATATAAAATATTTAATGCTGAGGTTTTTAAACTTATGATTTTACTTACTTATAATTATTATTCAATGAATATTTTTTAATTAACAATCATTAATTTTTAATGTTAGGTGCTATTTAGAGAAGATTGCACAGCTGATGAATTAATTGATGTTATATCAGCTAATAGGGTTTATTTGCCCTGTTTATATGTTTATAACAAAATTGATCAAATTTCTATTGAAGAAGTAGATCGAATAGCAAGACAACCTAATAGCGTTGTTGTCAGGTACATAAAATATAGTTTTGATATAGAATTATTAGTATATTTTGTTAATGAAACAAAAAGTTGAAAGATCTATATAATTTTCTTTGACTAAAAAATATTTTTAGTAATAAATTTCTGTATATTTTCTGTAAAAACTTATCTAAATTTTAATTAATTTTAATCTTAAATATATTAAAATGTATCAATATAAGTTTGTTCATTTTTAGCTCAGTATAAAATTGAATTTATACTTTTTTCAGTTGCAATATGAAATTAAATCTTGATTATTTACTGGAAATATTATGGGAATATTTATCATTAATCCGAGTGTATACGAAGAAACCTGGTCAACCACCAGACTTTGATGATGGCCTTATTTTGAGAAAGGTAAATTATTAGTTTTTATTATTTTTCTTATTAATAGCTTTTTTACAATTACAAAAATTTACTTTTAAACATTGTAATTGAATCGAATGCAAAACAATTTTTTTTTCAAGGGTGTTAATGTTGAGCATGTATGTCACGGAATACACAGAACTTTAGCAGAAGCATTTAAGTATGCTTTAGTTTGGGGAACTTCTACTAAGTATTCTCCGCAAAGGGTTGGTATCAGTCATATAATGCATGATGAAGATGTTATCCAAATTGTAAAAAAATAATAATTTTATATATTATTATGTATAATTGTTAAATATATCATGCATTTGTTATATACATTCTGCCTATTATAGGTCTACTTAAGAAAAATTTCTTTATTATCATTATCTACTATTTCTAATTCTAAAAGAAGTAGATAATGAAAATTCAAATGTACTTTTAATAATATGAATTCAAGAGTACTTTCTGCACATTCCTAGCAATTATTATTGCACAACCTAATTAAATTTCTCATATTCTCTTCTGCTTCATCCATCCTTCCTTTCTATTGTTATATCCATGATATATAATTACATATTACAAAGAGATTATCAAATTTTATTATTCTGATTTACATTAATATTGACCTAAATTTGAAACAGTAAATTTATTTTATAAGATTGAATCAATTCACTTTGTATATTTTTTAAACAGTTTTGTGATTAACTGTAGGTTCTTTGAATGGCAAACTGGTAACACAAATAGCTGTACTTAAATCAGCTGAATTGCCTTCTTTAAATGCTTTATAATCCTGAAACATGTCTCTAAAAGCAATGAAATCGGAAAAAGTAGACAATACTTCGAACACTTCACCTTCTAACTGCTCTTGTTTTATTTTTTTTCTGAAAATATAATTATTTTTAAATATGGATTATATATGAAACGTTATGTACTAAATAAGTTTAATCAGTTAACAATGTTAACACATAATAATGTTAACAGATATATATATATATATATATATATAAATTATGCACATCAAATTCAGTGATGATTGTACGTACTCCAGTTGCATTATGAAATTATCCATGTCAAATCCTGGATATTTTGCATTCAGTTGGCCCTCTATGAATTTTTCTATTTTATTAACATACTCATTGAATATTGAAGTATATTCTAATTTGTTTTCAGAATTATCATCAAATTGTATATAATATTTTTCCATAAAGTTATTCAACATCATCTAAAAATAATCAATCATTTTATTTAATATTATATTTTCATAATGAATAATTACAAAATTCTATATATAAAGCATATAAATGAAAGCATTAAAACCTGAAATTCTTCATCCACAATAATATCTTCAATGGTGCCAATAATTTTATCAAAAGTATCTTCAGATGTAGATGTTCTATTTGAATAAAACAATATACCTGGAACACCATCAATGTGAAGATTGCCTAAATTTATGTCATCCATATATGATTGCAAAGATTTTTTTTTTAAGTAAAAACTTTTTTGTAGGATTTCAATTTTTTAGTACTATTGATTTTTATTGTTTCCATGGAGACCAAAAAAAAGTAGACAAAAGATTGTCAATATACAGATATAGTGATTCATGCATACACACACAGGAATATATATTTATATATATACATTTGTATATATATATATATATATATATATATTTCTATGTGCATAGTTTTGCATATTTATCACCATTCAGCATGCTAACAAATTCAATGATTTCTCCTATCAATTTTACAATTTGTTAATCACATGACTAACTACATAATTTTATTATTTAACTTTTAGACTATTATTTTATTAGTTTGTTTTCCTTGTTTGAATTTAACAAGCTAGATCATGATTTAGATACGGAAATGTGCTAAATATAATAAATAAATAAATAGCTATTTATTGTAATTGTAAGGTAATTATATTTATTGCTTTTTCTAATGACTATTTGACTGCAAATAAATATTTCAATAATATGTTTCAATGTAAAAAAAACTTACTTAATATATGAGATTAAATCTTCAGGGCAATTACCCAGTTAAAAATTCTAGAAATTATAAAAAAAAATATTTATACGTTTTGACGTATTATATTTTATGTAAACTTTAGTGGACTATTTGAAAGAAATAGAATATATAATAACTAAATGTGACTACAATTTTATATCGCGAGTCGAATACATGACAGTCGCTTTTAGGAATCTTGCTTTATACAATTGTACAAAAATAGTAAGTGGTTGATACTTTGTCACTGTGTGAGAATTACAATGTTTATTCTAGAGATGTTTATTCTTCTTTATTTTCCTGATTCACTTCCTTTTTTGCAACTTTTCTCATTTCATACCAACTAAAGTCCACAAGAATAATACAATAATAAGATGATAATCACAATTATCATGTTTATTTATCTATGTTTATCATCTTATTATTCATTCTTTTATACTTATTTATCTATGGTACCCTCCTCTTTTTTTCAAATTTATTTTCTCTGTGATGTATTTGTCACTTTACCTAACTTAGTGGCTGGTGGTTACAAATGTATGATTTCGCTCGAACAAAAAATGTCAAATGAGGTATTTTTTGCAATAGTTTCATTGCGTTTATTGAAGTAATGTATGCAGATTTTGTTAATTTTTAAATGAAATAGTTTTCTTTTAATAGGTTTTTCAATTTCTAAATTGTGATATAAAAATATCATAAAAAGAGGCAAAAATTAAAGAATTGTATTTGGATATCAGGTATTGTGAAAGCTAATAAATACAAAAAATATTAATAAAGGTGCTACAGTACTTAGAAATAATAAACATATATAATAATTAATAACATTGTATATATAAATATACAGTAGAATCCGCTTAGTATGACATTCAAGGGACGGCGAAAAATCGTCATACTAAGCGGTCGTCATACTAAGCGTACTGAAAAAAAAAAACACTTTTTGGCGAATATGTTATTAATTTCAGTAATTTAATACAAAAATTAAGGTAAAAAATGACACATACTAACAAATTGACAAATTTAATTAAAAATATGACATAACAATGCATTTTTTAATGTAAGAAATCTGTAATTTTTGTTTGAATTTTAATTACTGGGTAAAAATAGTAAAAAATACTGAACTTTACTAATTCAGTAAACTATAGCAGATGTTATCGCTTCCAAGAATGAGCCTACTTATTTTTTGCACGAGGTCGTCCATGCCGGAAGTTGCCAAAGTTCCCATAGCGCGAATTTCGTGCAACATAGAGACCTGAAGGTATGTAGCGACCTGACACACAAGGGTAGTTCACAGTGGTGCCATACCATAACAATGTGCAATGAAAAACATGAACTCTATGTTATCGGAGGTGTAAAATCATGTCGGTCATTATACTTGGACCAAATTTTTTTTCAAAAATGGGTCATTATAAGCGAAATGTCAATGTAAGCGAGGTCAACATATCCGACTAGACAGCTGTTTTTTTAAGAAATTTTATATGGAAACCAAACTGCCTTTAAAATTACGTCATAATAAGCGGTTGTCAATATATCCGGCGTCATACTAATCGGATTCTACTGTATATATATATATATATATATATATATAAATGATTACAATGCAAATTAATTGAATAATTTATTATAACAATTTTAAATTTAACATTTTTAACAAAAATAATTTAATCTGATTCTTCATAATTCAAACAATCATAATAATCCTCTCTTTCATTGTCACTGTCAGTTTCAGTGTCATTTAATTCTTTAAGAACCCTTGATTTATATCGCGCATATTTTTCTCCATATCTCTGTTTATCATCATCATCAACATCACCTTCAAAAGCAAATCCTTCGCTATCCACGCTATAAATAAATCCTTCTCCTTCATCACTTGAGAGATCTTCGCCTAACAATAGTATTCAATAAAATATGTTAAAAATGATGAATAAATATGAATAAAAATCGGAATTTAAATCAATATTTAAAAATAAATAGATATCTATACAGATGACACATGATTAGTTAATACAAACCTAAAGACAGATCTCCAATGGCTTTTCTCATAACGCCTTCATTTATGCTATTATCGGAATCAGGATAATCATTTCTGTAGTTATTCTCATCATTTGAGTCATCTGTGTCATAATCATCTGAACTCTTGTAACCACCTTCCCGAAATGTTCCAAATACTAAATCATCAGTGGCCTCATGAATACTGTTTCAAATTTGAACATTATATTCAAAATTATCAAAAAATTAATGCATGCATGCATGCATATATATATATATATATATATATATATATATATATATATTAAAGTATGTGAATTTGATGTTGATATATATTTTGATGAGTTATTTTGATTTGGGCAGTAACACCAAGTAAAAAAAACTTTTTTATATATATATATATATATATAAAATATCAGTTTCAAAAATACCTGAGCATGTTATCCAAAATCATATCATCAACTTCATCCATATAATATAAATCATATACATAATTAGTGGTTAACTTTGTTTCAGATTCTAATAAAAAAATATTATTTGCTTCCATTTTTTGTTCAATATCCACCACTGTTAGTTGATTTTTCTCTCCATTCGAAGCTTCTTTAGAATCATCTAATGTTCGAAAACAATTTATTACTTTAAATCTATTATTTTGAGCTTGCAATTTTTGTTCATTTCGAAGTTTGGTAGTAATATTTGGGATATGTCTTTTAAATGTTTTCTTTGCTTCTTCTTTAGTAATCTTAGATAAGTGTGCAGATATATTTTCATTCTGTGGGAATACACAGAACATTATGATTTTTTTTTACATGAATAAAAATTATAATGATTATGAATTTATAAATAATGTTATTGGTAAGTAATACCTCATTTTTGAGCGTAGTAGCTAATTTGATAAGCGCTGATACCGAGGTTTCGCTGTCTGTGTCATCAGTCTTCCTTCTTTTACAATTAATAACCAGACTATCCACAGGTTCATCAAATATTCTTCGTTTAACTCGAATTACAGCAGCCATTTCAACTTTTTTAGTATCAAGAAATTGAGGGTTGAATTAATTGAATTGCTACAATGACTAAATTGCTTTGAAATTTTGTGTTAAATATTTTCAATTCAACAAAACAGCTATAAAAAACATTTTCACATTTTTCACAAAAGAAGAGTTTTAACGAGTTTAAACATAGCGAAGAATCGCCAGAAAGTATACTTTTTCAATTTTATTTTGTGCACATTTATCATTTATTATATATATACAACAATGATGTAAAAGTAAAAGCAACTAAAATCAGTGAGTAAATCTGACATTTCTCTAAAACACTTTCTGTAGCGATGTGAAGTTTCCGTCAATACCAGAGAGCAGAGATTCAGATGTCAAAAGCAGCAATTTTAGCAAATAGCAAGGGTTAACACAGAACGTTAACCACTTAGATTTAAAATTGGTTATCACAAGATTTTAAATTTATGTATAGCATAGTATTACAGTGTGTATATATTTACTTGCGTTCTTTTATATACCAATAACTTTATAATGTTTGTGATGTGTATGTGTGTGTGTGTTTCGACATATATCTAGTATGGTATTTTCACATTTTTAAAAATAATTTTTAAATTTTCTATATTTTAAAAATTGGTTTTAATTTATTATGAACACCATTTAAGCTGTTTGAAGAATATTTTTATAATTAACAATTGTATACATAATTTTGATTTGTGTAGTTTATTATATTATGATCGCAGTAAATTTAGATTTGAAACTTGTTTGATAAATGAAAATTTTGTTTAAAGTTTTGTTTCATTGTAAAACTTATACTAACTGCTCAAATCAATATGTAATCACATAGATTACTGTACTAAATTTTTTATAAAATTAGTCTTAAGTAGTTATAAAATAATTAATTATTAAAATACACTTGTAAAAATTGTAATGATCAATTAAAATAATCATAAAATGTAAAAGTAGTATTTATTATATCTTATTCATTTAATTGTTTTTCAACTTTGCAAAGGAGTGGTTTGTTTTCACTAGATAATTCAAATTGCTCATTTTGTTTTCTCACAGAATGTCATTTGATTTTGATTATTTAAAATAAAGGAAATTTAAAGAAAAATGTAATATTGGCTTCACGTGTTCAGGAATGTAAAACTAAATTTTCTATCAAAATTTAAAAGCACTTCAAAATTATTCATGTATATGAGTGATATATAAATAAAACAGTGAAAATTTGTCTGTATATTTAAAAATGTGAAAATATTTAACAAATTTTATACTTGAGAAAGGAAAAGCAAACAAGTGTACTGTAAAACACAGGTTAGTGAAAAAAAATAAAATTTATTCTACACCAAATTTATTTATTTCAATAAACAACAACTAATTCATTGCAGTGTAAATTTTTAGAGAGTTTACTAAAAGAATGGAATATCGTTATTTAATTTATAAAACCCTTAATGTTAAAATTGAAGATTCAAATAAACGTCGT